TTCATTCCAAAACTACTGAACCGATTTAAATGAAATTTGGTACACAGATTGTCTAGGGCCTGAGAAAGGATTTTTTAATTGGAAAAAAGTGTTGTATAGGGTTGAAAGATATTTATTTAAGGGCTTCAACGCGAGCGAAGCCGCGGGCTAAAACCTAGTTTAAATATAATTTAGCCCTTTACCATTCAGGGAAATTGCAGCTTTTCGTTAATTAAACTATTTATTATATGGTTGCCGAAACGATTTTTGTAGTCACCTGCCAAACTGCCATAGCGTCCTGCGTTTGTAGGTTCAATCCTCACTCACACACACATTTGTTACAACGTCTGTGGTAAATTGTTGAAAATTTTTGGTGCTACCAGCATTCATACCTGCGTTCGGACGCTATAGACCCTAACCCCCTTATAGTATTGATAGAGAATTTCTCGTTTGCGCGTTTACAATCAAAAAAAATTTTTTCGTGACTCCTCGGCGCAGTTGCCAAGGTATTGACTTCGGCACTGGAGGTCGAGGGTTCGATTTGCACGCGGAACAACTATTTGTGTGACTTACAGATAATTGTTTAAGATCTTGATGTATGTCAACGCGAAAATGTCCGTACAACACAGGAAAATAACAGTTAGGGCAATATTAAAAAAAAAATTAAATGACATTTTCTGGTTCCGGATATTTTCATATGCAATCTGCATAGTTATGTAAATCACACGTGAAACGAGCATAATCTACATTTTTACAGTTCGAAGTATAACGCTAATACTAGGATTTATTTTAAGAATTTCATACTTTCCCAAATGTTATAATATAAAATGGTTTAATTTACAAAATCAATAATTAAAAATTATAATAAAAGTTAGTTAAGATAAAAGTATTTTACGAGTGGTATTACTAAAATATGTGTCAAAAAATAATCCCTGGTTTTATTGTGTTCAAATTCACCCTAAATCCCCGACGCCAATCGTCTGTTGAATTTTTACAATTTACAACATCACCGCTCTGTGGTGAGACTGGAAGTTTGGCACAGTCAAAATCGATAAAATCCATCACATATGTTTCGTTTAAAAATTTATTGAAAATTAATTAAATAAAAAAAATATATACGTGCCATCGCCTATACAATCTTTTTAATTTTTATTAATATCTTATTTTATTTATATTCAATCTTATTAATTTATCAATCTTACAATTTAATTTATATTCAATCTTATTATTTTTTTCTGTCGTAACGAAATCATTAAACGTAATTCCCTGTTTAATCCGATAACGGTCCAATTATGGACGGTATCGGTCCGGTGTTTTTGGAATCGTGTGTTAACATCAGAAATGATATCGATAACACTTCGCCCCTTTTTAAAGCGATCTCCGATATAATGTGCCCAATGTCGTCTTAGGCCATATCGGCGCCCTAGGGCGCATACATTTGGTGCCCTGATGAAAAGTAAAAAAGGTGAATGACAAAAACATTTTTCAGCTATTATCTTATATTTTTCATTTATTCTATAAACTTCTGTCGGAATATATCTACCAAAAATAAAGAAAAAGGGGCCCCCGTGACGACAGGGGCCCTGGGTACGGGCCCCGTGTGCCCTTTTGGTAAAGACGGTACTGTGTGCCTATGTGTTATTGGCACGAGAACAAATCTCTGCTTGACTCTTGTACACAGTGTACGCCAAGGTCAAGGTGTAAGTACAGCCTTCCCTTACACGCGACGTTTGGGTCTCGTCGACCTGTAGAACTTGGAAAACAAAAATATACGAAGACCGTATTGGCCCAGTCGGAAGGATGACTCGCGAGCAGATATAGCGGGATTACGGACAATTTCTATAATTGAGTTTGAGGTTGTTTTACGAGTGCAATTCTTTTTTTTTAAGTGGATACCCCGCCGCCTTGTGGGTAGACAGCAGGGCTATGTGGCAGTTACGGGGTACCCACTAGAAAACCCACGTCGCACCTGCGCTGTCACTTTTGCCGAGGATACGGGAAGACGGGAAGCAATATTCCGCGAACCCCGGCACGACTGTGGCCTTCTCAGGCCTCCTCTTTCCAGATGTACAAACACCTGGACAACAACTTTGTACACCCACATGTTTGGACACCCGGTACAGCCAAAGTTGTTGCCGTGTCGGGGCAATGAATAACGGCACCCCGCTAGCCCTCTGCGGGGCAGCAGTTAGCCATGAGTGGAATTCTAACCCAACCCTTTGTACGTTTGAAATTTAATTATAACTGTAGTACATCGGTTTGAAAGTGCATGGAAATGACTACGTAAAGACTGATTTTAAATTTTAGCTCACTTTGGGGTAGCATGTAATAAACTCAACGTCTTAGATTCAAATCGCAATCCCGACGTCTCAGTTACAAAGTTACGATTGTATTATTAAAATATACATTACATATAGTTGCAGGATTCCGCAAATTTAAACGATTACAAGAATGTACGCTCCAATTAAATCTGATCAGTTATTGTAATTTAATACGTACACGTTTATCCTCGACTTTGAACTGGCTCACAGTCAGTCCATTCAATCACGATGGTACGCTGCAAAATGAACTTAACGCCATCGATGTTACGGTTCATCCTACTTTGACACGTTCATGCAAAACGCTTATTTTGTTGTGTTATTGTATACGACAAATACGCCCTCAATAATAATTGCATAGGTTCAGGGTTCAAGTAAACAAATGATTAAATAAATCTACAAAGTTTTTGACGACCCGGTTGGCGTAGTGGGTACTTTTTTTTTAATATCTTTATTTTTATGGGGTTTTTATCTATAAAGATACGCCAACCCCATCGTAACTTATACAGATCACAACAACTTACGAAATACGAATCCTTAAAAGTATATAGATTTATTACAGTGGTTATTGAATCTGCCTCTTGCGTCATAGAGTGTGGGTTCGATCCACACTACTGGAAAAATATTCTTATTCTTCTCTTATTCTTTATTGTACACAAAAAAAAATACAGTTACAAATAAAGGATTCCAAAAAGACTGTACAAAGGCGAGCTTAACCCTAAACAGAGTTCTCTGCCAGCAAACCTTTCGTAATAATTAAAAATAAATAAGTAATCAAAGGAAAATAGGTAGGTGTGTACAATGAAAATTAACTTACAGACTAAAATAAGTAATTGAATAATTCTTAATACATAATACATAATTATAATTAATACACATATACTTCTGCATACTAATACAATATAAATAAAAATAATATACTAAATATATAATAGTTTTATTTATACATCAGACGAGTATATTAGTGCATGTGATGTTTTATGCATCGGAGGATAAAAAATATTGTTTTACTCTTGTGCGGAAAATTTTTATGGATAGGCTGGCACGTATGCTGTGTGGAAGCGAGCTTGTCCATAGCTTGATTGCTTTTATTGTAAATGATTCGCCATACCGTCTAGATGTGTGGGATGGAATTTTAAGAAGCTTTTGGAATTTAAAGAATATTGTGTCATGAACCTAGTGTTCTTCCAGTGTATGGGTGTTTCAGTCGTATCAAGGCTGTCGACTTTGACTAATAGCTGAGTTCTACGTTTGATGAACCTATACCCTCTCGCGCAAGAGGTAGGCTCACTACTCCATTAGAGTCGTCAAACTATCCTTACTAATATTATAAAGGCGAAAGTTTGTATGTATGTTTGTTACTCTTTCGCGCAAATACTACTGAATGGATTCTAATGAAACTACAATAATATAGGTTATACATCAGAATAAGACATAGGCTATAATTTATATACATATTTTTATGTATAGCCTATTCTACGCAGACGTAGGCTCGGGCAGCAGCTAGTATTTAATATTTACAGCGATTTCTTCAATATTAAAGAAATACACCGGCGAACGTTATGCTCTTTAGACCTTCTCTACCAGTCAACTAATAGTCTGGCGAGATCTTTTGACAGGTGCAATAACTGAATAAACAAATGCTTATAAATTGTAATAGGTATATCCTTTTAATCCGTAGTGTGGCCGTGTAATGTACGATGCCCTAGTAACCTACAGAGGAGGCCTATAACCCGCCGTGGGACATATGTCACTTCAAGTTTATACTTACTCGTACATATAGAATACATAAACACCAACAAATTTCCACTTCTAAACTCATACATAGGGTAGGGGGGGAGATCTTCAAAATACCTACGATATTATGTGGTGTTCTTACCCACTAAATCCCCCTCGGTGGCTACCTTCAGTACGTTTGGAGGGACTCCGGGATCCTACAGAATGCACCGGTTTCTCTCGGTACCGCGCGCGAGCACGCCTCGGAGAAGAATACACCTTACCCGATTCCCTCGCCATCTTGCACCAGCTCGAAGCCACTTCGAGCCGCTGCCAATCCGTGTGCCCTTTAGTCGCCACTTTCGACAAGCAGGAGATAACTTAGTCCAATGAGCCTACTGCTAACTCAGAGGCCGGCAACGTAATTGTGCCTCCTCCGATGTTGCACGTGTCTATGGGCGGCGCTGATCGATTACCATCAGATGTCCCGCTTGCTCGTTTGCCTTTAAAAAAAAAACTATAACAAACATGTAGATAGAGTCCCGCTGGCTGTCTGTCCATATGTATGCTTAGATCTTTAAAACTACGCAACGGATCTCGATGCGGTTGTTTTACTAGATAGAGTGATTCAAGAGGAAGGTCTCTATGTATAACTAGCGACCCTCCCCGGATTCGCACGGGTGCAATGCTGAATGTTTGTTTTCGACATCGCATTACAAACCTCTAAGTTATCAGTGTTTCTCTATCATATTATGCATGAATTATACTTATAACCCTTCCTCTTGAATCACTCTATCTATTAAAGAACCGCAATTTAATTAACCGCATCAAAATCCCTTGCGTAGTTTTAAAGTTCTAAGCGTATATAGGGACAGACAGAAAGCGGCACGACTTTGTTTTATACTATGTAGTGATACATTGCAACCGTGCGAAACCGGGGCGGCTAGCTAGTATAGAAAAGGTAAAGATGGTGTTCCGTTGTTCCAGATGAGACTGGCTGTCCAGACACCGCTTTCAACATGGCGTCGGTAAATACCAACGGGGATCTGAAGAGCCCTGGCGACCCCCCGGACAAGAAGGTCACCGAGGCCGACGCTGAGAAACAACCGCTGTCAGGGGTGAGAGCATCTGCATTTTAGTAATGATTTGGCAACGCGTCACGTGGCGTCGACAACCCTGAAATGTAGTTTGTGAGTAGTGGCCGAGTGGTTGACGCGCTGGTCGTAGCTTCGATTCCAGCGCGGCTGGAGAATTAATTTTGAAACCACCATTTCAATATTGATTTCTTGATTTCAAGCGAATGTATTAAATGAAACTATTTTACGGACTTTATCGCGTTTTTATTTTGATTTGAAATTCCCTACCCTTTCAAGCGTTCATGGTCTATCCCATCTGTCCCATGACCAAAATAAACACGCGATAAAATCCGTAAACTAATTTCATTTTATACCACCATTTCATGTTTTATACTGTATTAATTTATGACTATAATTTCGTTTCTTATATTATGTTTCAATTAAAACTTATTTAGTTAATTATCATTTTGTACTTATATCATAATATTTCTATTAACTCAGCATTTGAACATTGATGAATAATATTACAATGTTATTTATAAGCTGTTTATATACTTAGCTGTTTATCATTACTCTGTGTATATTGTGATAATTATCGACACACGAGGTAATTATTTGTAGAACGGTCAGAAATGCTTTTATTGATCCTCTATCTCGTCTATGTTGTGACTCCTCTTAAACGCTGAAAACTTAAGTGTCAATATTCATATGGCCGGTGGGCACTTACAATCAGGCTTCTTCTCCATAGACACAAAAAAAAATAGAATAAATGAGGGTAGCACCGTGACGGCATCTAACTTTTCTTTTGTATATAAATACATATTATACATATACAAATACCCAGACACTAGAACAATGTTCACACAATATTTTTTCAGTAGTGGGGTTCGAACCCACACCCTCTGGCGCAGAAGACAGACACTACCCACTACGCCATTCGGGTAGTCGCTATATTTGCGCGACGAATGCAATCTTCGCCCCGAGACGCCTTTGTAGATATTTTCGAAATTAAATTAATTAAATCACGTGTCACGTTTGATAATACACGTTTCCAAGTAATGAAAACTTTCCGTTGAATATCAACCGAACATCAACCCGCGTTACGCTCGTAACGGCCGTTATAGATTCTGCTGTCGATAGCTTCCGATTACCCGTTAAGTCATTTGACAATCGTAACGGATAATTGCCATGCTTACGTCGTGAGTAATAATCAAAAATAGATATTTTCACAGTACTCCAATAATTAATTATCACTAAGTCGCCACAAATTGATCGCCTGTTATCTTGATATTGGTTATCAGTTACTTCTAAATGCGATCGGTTGTAATATGTTATTGCCTCATTTTCTTCATGATTAAATTCATTATTGATTGAATACCACAATTTATTCAATTTTCATCCAGTAGTTACAATCAGACACTCAACACCTAACGGCACCTTACACAAAGTAAGAGATAATTTCCGTTAACTCTCAGTCTTTAGTAGTGCTACTGTAGCACCACAAGTTATCGCGAGCTTCTTGGGAATCTGAAAAGATTTTTAAATTAATTGAAAACTAATAATGTCAAGAGATAATGAAATACAATAAAGCAAGTGCTATCTATCGTTCTATTGAATTGAATTCATTAAGTCTAAAATAGTCTATGTAGAACTAAAAAAACATTATTATTGTTATCTAGTGATTTCATGTCATATGGATGAATTTGTCAATGTTAGGCGATATATCAACAACTATCCTACTAAGAAAAGACGCCATAGAGCGGACTTTTTTTTGACACAATTATATCTATACACATAAATAAAATTGGAGTGTCTGTTTGTAATATTAAAATAACTGCTTTTTACTAAATGCATATGGATGTATACACGGTACATTTACCAAAATAACATTTTTTACAATTTTTGTTTTCTGTTTGTTAAGGCTAATCTCTGAAACGGCTGGACCGATTTGGAGGGGACTTTCACTGGCAGATAGCTGATGTAATAAGGAGTAACTTAGGCTACTTTTATTTTAGATTTTTTTTTTATTTTAAATTCCACGCGGACGATGTCGCGCGCACAGCTAGTTTCGAAATATATACTATGAAATTAAATGTTCTGTGTAGGACAAAGTATTCATTAAATTCTGACACAGTTAAGTTCCATATCCAGTTGCGAGAAACGTCGCTGATTTGTCGGCTCAGAATTTTCTAGTACCTCGCATGTAATCCCGCAGAGGAGTGAACATTAATAGTTGACGTTCAAAACTCTTTCGCCGTAATGGAAATTCAACTGAACAATTTAAGATGTACAACGCGACGCATAAATCATTCCATGAGACTTAAAACTATTTTCCTCGCCGAGTGCACTAACAAAAACGTGCCATTCCTCGTAATTTTCTTATGTCATGTGCATTGTGCATAAGTTAATGTATTATTTATTGTCAGGTTAGCGTCCATTGTGAATTTTCTCTGCAATTAGCATGTAATGACGTTTCGTTTGCCTTTAATGCGGCGCAAATGAGCTTCTTCTCTGCGCAGTTAGATCTTTGGCGGGGCGATTAAGATATGTGTAACCATAATGCACTTCTCAAGGACTGCCGCACCTTGGTATAAGTACAGATAAGGCAATTTAATTTTTAATTTTTCGCGATAGTCTTGACTTAAGGTGTAACTTAAAGATGTGGAGATAAAACTGGCGTAAAACTTTTTGTCGCTGTCATGATTATATCGTACATTTTTAAGATAAAGTAATGTCAAAGTTAATGTTGAAGTCGCGCGTCCAGATGTACGAAAAAATATTTTTAAACTTTGAACAATCCTACCTTGTGGCTTCAATAACTCCGTTTGTAATTCGAACCTTCGTACGGTTGTTATTTTAATGTGAGTTCGCAAGATAGGTCGCTTAAATCATTTGCTTAGTGCATCCGGCTATGCAGGTTCCAATTCTTTTAGTGCCGGATTTTCAACAATTTGTCTTTCAAAGTAAATTAGACCAAAAATCGAATAAAATCTTATAGAGTTTTGTCATTTAGGGTCTTTTCACGAATTGAGTCTAGAACCATAATATTAACAGGTCAGGTTTAAATATGGTGGGGCCACAGAATTTGCTGTTGCACGAATGGGCAGTTCCGTCCGGGTAGTCGTGTAGTCGAAGTGTTATACTTCTGCGTTTCGTCTGTTAAGTGAGGTCCCACACAGGAGGGAGTAGGGTCCCACTTTATTATAAAAGTGGCAACGCATTTGAAACCCTACTGGTGTTGTTAATATCCATGAACGGCTGTTATCAATTAACATCAGGAGAACCACACGCTCGCTGCCATCTTCTCACATATAAAAGGTCTCATTAAGGACTATAAGATTTGCGAATTTAATAAATTTAGAGTTTTGTGTAGTGCTAATCTCTGCACTTAAGATAAAACATTGTTTATACTACATTAGATTACCCGGGTTCGATTCCCACAGCGGCGACAATCTTTTCGCACTTTTTGTACAAGTTTTAATTTGCGCATTTAAGCTATCATCGGTTCTATCTAAGTTATACAGTTACGTAAGGATCAGGATCTTTGTTTTAGTAATTTCAATCAAGTAATGTGCGAATTTTTAAACCTTCAAGTCTCTCGAATGCAATGACTTATACGCTTTTATTGCGTACATTAGCATAAAATAATTATTTTTGTTCGGTTTTTCTGCACCGGAATGACCTTAGGCAATAGAAGAAACGTTATTTAGCGGACATCCGATCATAGAAATCGGTTTTTTTTATGTTAGATGCTTAGTTTCACAGCTCTGTACTTTACTTATGTTTGATTACTTAGCGATCGATTTTACGGTTAACATGACGAACACCACCCAAGGTCAAGACAGAGAACAGACCTCACGGCTGAAATTTTATCGTGGCAAACAAGGGCAGTTTACAGTAGTTTTTAGGGTTCCTTACCCAAAGGGTAAAACGGGACTCTATTACTAAAAATCCGCTGTATGCGCGCGTGTCCGACTCGCACTTGTTAGTTTTTAGTAAGAGTTCATTAGACAAACAGAAAAGTTAGATGATGTAATTGTATTAGTACAAATGAAAATTGATCACTCATCCCCAGACTTTTACAACACTCGCTTGGATTCAACTCCGTTGCCAATACTATTGTAACTAGTACACAAATGATATCCATTTCACAAATATTAACCGTCTTTGATCCAAAAGAATAGACTCGTAAGTGTCACACTAATAATTTATTAAATGGGAAATTCATATCGTAAAATATCGTCACGAATTATCATCGATTATGTACAATGTCAATTAAGAAATATTGCCGTATTATAATGGGCAAACAATCCTTTATCGGCCACTGTTATGTTAACCTCTGTTCTCCATTTTTTAAGTCCCTGTACGGAGATCGAGTCGCGATTAGATAAACTTGTTTACATATAATTACTTTAACGGAAGTTTCTGTCTCTACATTGTTCTCTATTAGCCGTTCGAAATTAAAAAAATTTAAATCTCATAATGCAGTTTCAAGATTGTTAATGAAGAATTGCGATCGAAAAACTGATTACTTCCTTACCTCTTTATCTTGTCTCCGAATCGCAATTGTTTTTCTCTGAATATTCTGAACTTTTATTGTGTTGTTTACCAGGGTATTTTGTTTGCGCCTGCGTTTTATGGTCAAAGGCTAAGATTTATTTATTGATAAAATCCATACTAATATTATAAATGCGAAAGCAACCGTCTGCCTGTCTCGGTTTCACGCCAAAACTACTGAACCGATTTAAATGAATTTTGGTACACAGTCTAGAGCCTGAGAAAGGACATAGGCTATTTTTAATTGGAAAAAGCGGTTGTAAAAATTTGAAAATATCTTGATATATTTAAGGGTTTCAACGAGAGCGAAGCCGCGGGCGAAAATATAGTCCGAAATAAATATACTTACTTCGCCCTCATATAACAATAACTCAGAAAGTTCAGCACATGAAAGTCTTACAGTGGCATCAATAAAGCCTGCTGTATTAGTAGTAGTAATTATGTAACTTTTTTTACGGTTCTCGCAGGAAACCAATTTAACACTCTCCTGCAGAAAGGCAAGAGCTATCTCTGTTTAACCCGATTGCGCCAAAAGGAGGGTTATGTTTTTCGAGAGTATGTATGTATGTGTAATTGTTTGGAACTGTCTGCAGCCTGCCTGCAGCAGCCAATTTTTTATTTTGATATACCCAGTATAACAAAATAAAAAAATACACAGAAAAGGGTTCTTTAGTTTTTTTAAATTATATTCCACTTGCTTAGTCAATTGCATCCCTTCAGTGGCAGACAAGAACAACTGAGAGAGTAGTACAATCTTTGGAGTTCCAAAAGCTCCCATTACACCCACTATACACAGCACTCCACTCCATTGTGCCATCAGTGTTTGCACACATATCACCCGCTAAGAATCGTGCTTTTTAGGTGCTTTGTTCGTCAGATAGAACATTAACATTTTCTATATGTGTACAACAACGAGATTAATGAGACTGACTTCTAAGTCTGTCCCGTTAATGGATCTGTTGAAAATGAAAGCACAGATAACAGAATTCCAATAAATAGGATGGTTAACTAGTTGTGTTGAAACTTACAGGCTCATTTTCTCTTGACTGTTTTTATATGCGAGGTTAATACATAATTTGTCTTATATTTTATGCCGCTGCAGAGAAGAAAACTATTAGAGCAAAATACCCCGGTGAAGATTTTTGATTATTAAGCTACTGCCCATAACATTCACCTCTGTTTTGACAACACTTTTTTTTATTTCCAGAAGAAAGAGGAGAGATGGTGGAACACGCTGATGCAAGTGGCCGTTCCCTTCTTCATAGCGGGGTGCGGCACCATCGGCGCCGGCTTAGTTCTTGGCAGCGTAAGGGTATGTACATACTGTGGCCTTAAATGCCATAGCGCCTCAAAAGTACTATTAATTAATTCGTATGCGAAAACTTCAAGGGGAGCATAATAACACAAGTAGTGCAACACAAGCAAGCTGCCATCCCATTATTAAGCGGCTATGTATTATGCTATTAGGTAAGTAACAAAACTGTCCTCCGTGAAAGCCGAAAATCTCCCAATGCTCTGGTGATAAACGCAGAAGTGTCGAGCCTTTACGCGACCTTTGTGAAATGTCATCGCGTAATGTCCTCATCGACCCAATCTAGGAAGGGGACGAAAGAGTTCCGGACCCAACCAGGGGCGCGTTCGACAACACTTTACTAATACCCAGTCGTTAAACTGCAACAACTGTAGCTTTCACCTACTGACACGGCGAAACCAACAGACCGCGTACAAAACTAAGTCAGCATCTGTACATATTTTGTGTACATAAGGTATAAATGAATAAATTAATGAATGAATAAAAAGATTACAGCCATGTCTCGGGGCGGCTCTCACCTCTCCCGGCCAACGGATTACACAATCTTCGGTCACCGACGTCACAGTCCGACACGTAGAATGTCGTAGATCCATAACCGATAATCCCCTAAATGCACGCATGTGCCAATGTGCGACTTTAATTAGGTAAAGTCTATCAAACTCGCGGAAACCTATTCAATCCACGTTTCCTTGTTTTTTTGTATGTAATAAGGTGGCAAGTGAGCTGGCGGCCGTCGCCCATGGACATTTGCAACGCCCGCAGGGTTTTGGGCAATTGTATTACTTTAATAAGTTCACACAAGTTAATCTCTTAACCCCACTGCGCCATTTGTGGAGAATCATGACATTCAATATTTAAGTAGCGATTTCAATATAACCGTCGCCGTCGAGTGCAGCGTTTGCAATAAAGATAACGCCCCGAATTATCGGCGATTTATGGCCACGTACAACATCTTTATTGACCTTAATTCTATTTAAACTGAAGCACGTAACGATATTGCCAATAAATATCGATAAACTCAAAAACAGACTGTGACTAGACGCTAATAAATACGGCTTTTTATGAGATTTATTACATCTTTTTATTACAATTCACATTGCATAGTAACGGGCTGTGCAGAGACCCTTGTGGAACGCCGCGGTAGATCCGAACTTCAGGATTTTTCTAACTTTTTTATACATTTGTTAAATACCTGTCACACGCACGTCTAGTCTTCGATAACGTCTTTCAGATATGGAGGCATTTGATGTTATGTGAGTCCCTCCCTAATGGTCTTCCAGAGTAGATTTCAAGTTGAGAAAGCGCTGACGACGTATAGCCTAATCACGCGATTTTCTAGGGATTTTTCTATTAGTAATGGCTATTTATAGCCGTTATCGCCTTAAGTCTTTATGACGAATGTCTTGAACGCTATTCTACTAGTCTATTGCCGGAGTAAGCAATCAGCAAATGAATAACATATAATCCACTTGGTATTATGTGATTTTATAATTAAATAAGATACTGATAGTCCACTGCAGGTTAACTATAAAGGTATTTGATGTGTACTCTGAATTGCTTAGAAGATCGAAGTTAGCTATAGATATGCGTGTAATAGTAATAAAAATAAACATTTATTCGCATAAACATGGTACATAATATAATGTCTAAATTTATTACAATAGCTCACATATTTGCCGGATGCGGCATGAGAAAACCAAATTTTAAATAAACGACATGGATAAAAGTTAAGATGACAGATAAAACTTATTGCATAAATTAAAATGTTATTTTGCCAGCATGCTATTAAACTATAAATTATGTATTTTGTGTTGTTTAATTTAAATAAAGCATATGTTTTTGGTTACAGAATTGGGAGGTGTTTTTAAATGTTTCTGCCATCTTTGTTCTGGTGCCGTCTCTGTCTGGTTTGAAGGGTGAGTTGTACTTTTTCTTAACATTTCCCAACTCCTAATCTAAGCAGGTCTGAGTAATTTGTCAGTGGAACTATTTATTATTGCTAAAAATTTTCAGCGCTTACAATTTTTTCTATTATCGGATAATGTTTTCATTTTTAACTTCTATTTACTTAAACATTTATTACTATAAAACACAACAATGCAAAGTACTAATTTATGGTACATAAGGAAATAATACACTAAGACCTTAAGCACAGCCAAGTCTATAATGTGTACTTATCGCAAAACCTTTTCATTCTCGCCGTATATAATTTAATGAGTTCGCACATTGCCTAATAATAAATCTCATAACGTGCACTTCTTTAAGATGTAGTTATTAGAATCGATGATAATAAATGACTCGAGATGGGCTAGCGTTTGAAATGTTGATTAGCTATTCTCATCAAATCGCACATTTAGTCTGATGCTCAATACAGGTCTCTTGAAGATTAAGACTGAATTCCTACTTGCCGTATAGTTAGTGTCTCTTGCGACAGAGTATTGTATTATACCCACTATTGGAAAAATATTGTGTGATGAACATACTCGTAGTGTTTTTCTAGTCTCTGGGTGTTTATCTAATATATAAAATTCCCGTGTCACGGTTTTTGTAATTGAACTCCTCCAAAACGGCTTGACCGATTTTCGTGAAATTTTGTCTGCATAGCAGCCAGGGTGGAGAATCGGACATGTATTTTTCATCCCCCTAAATGTTAAGGGTGATCCACCCCAAACATTTTTTTCTACCCTAATACATTTTTTTCCACCCTACAAATAATTTATAGGGCAAAACAACGTTTGCCAGGTCAGCTAGTATATCTATAATATATAAACACCCAGACACATTTAATTACATATTTAATTACAAAAGAAAATAACATAAAAGTATGCCTATCAATTACTTAGTATCTATATAAGCTTTGCTTTGTTTCGGACTAGTGAACGCTGTGTAAAAATGTCCTCGAAATATTTATATTCTTCATCAACTGACGCTCAACTGTGACTACTTGTGACGTTCAAGAATGTAATTACATAGCTCGATACAATTTCAACTCAAAGACCTTATAAATGGAATCCCAGGGGGCCAAAAATTAATCCTTGCGGGGAAACAACACAAACCGGCGAACATCGTGGCTAATACCATATGCTTGGTACACTGAAGATCCTCTTTTAACGAAAACCCTTCGAGATGGTTTACGAGTACCTTTAAAAATGTGAGATGTATTTCTTCAATTTTAATCCACTTTAAAGGCCGCAGAAAAGAAAAACATTTGTTTGTGTTTCATGTCACGCTGACACAGCACCGCAAGTCCTTTTTTTTCTTTTTTTTTATGTGAAAAGTTAACTCTGACATTAAGACGTGAAACAACTCGGTCTGTCTCATGACCGTGAATGCTGGAAAGGGTTCGAAACGTCGGGATTAAAAATCTAATTAAATGCGATAAAATCCGTAAATTAGTTTCATTTACCGAACAACGTATAATATTCGCGAAAAAACAAGAAATCAACAATGTGAAAAGTTGTCAAGCGGCAAAGGGCGGTTCACCTGATGTTAAGTGAATACCGCCCCCCAAGGACATCTACAATATCGAATGGTGTGCAGATGCGTTATCAATCTTTAAAAAAACTCGGGCCCAACCGCACTCACCAGACGAAACTGGAAAGTTTAATACTACCAATTCACGCTGGTCTTATGTGAGGCCGTGATATTTTCCCGGACGCCCATTGGTGCAACAGCAGGAGCTATTGCGTGCTATCACAGTAGGCTCGATTCCCACACGGGACTAGTTTTAGTTAGATCCAAAACTGTGCTGAATTCGCCCGCTTCTTCCAGGCAATTTGCTTGCACAAAGTAGTTTCAACTTGGGATATTAATGTTATAATATATTTTATACATCTTCATAATTATATCTGTCACCACGCTTACATTTCTTAGTTTTAAATAACAATACACATTTATTGAAATTAATCGCATAAATTTCTTTTCGTAACTCATTCCTCGTTCTTCACTCTCCATTTGTGTTAAAATCTACTTTCAAACCACAGAAGCACTTATTAATTATATTTCTTATTATTATCATAAACGTATTTTATTTAAGGGTTGATAAACGATAAACATTCAACATTGGTAACTGATCACAAAAGCCCGGAAATAGATTAATTCTTATATTTGAATACTTGTAGATTGTTTGACCAATACCACCCATGTGGTATATTATTCCACAACATTTTGACATTGTTTCGCTTTATATAATCTTAGGAAAAACAATAGTTATGCTAGAAGTTATAAAGATCAAAACTGTTTATTTAAATTTCATCTCTTACTTTAATTAACCTGTAAAGACGTAACACATGTTATAGAGACTTTGTTAAACTTTCTGCCAACACTACAATTGATTCGATAACATTGTTATTGGAAAACATAGTACTCAAGTGTTTCTACTACTCGAGTACTTTATCTGTACATATATGTCTAGTCGTTTGAAGAAACGGAACGGTGTTTTAATGCGTAGGTCTTTAAATAACTTAATAAATTAAAAATAAATTAATAGACACGTCAATTCGACATGTAGAAAGCTTTGCCAAGATCGTCCTAAACGTCATTTTTAACACTCTTTTATTAGCTCGTTATGTAAGAATTGTATTTAACATTGTCTACGCACATGACTTTGACTCACTTTAAGACATCGAATAAAATTAAAACTTTGCACACTTATTAAGGGCCGATTATAATGCAATTAGTATAAGTAGTTTGTCCCAGTTTGCTGATCAGGAAAACAACAATAACAAATCTGAAACCTCGGTAGTTTACGACTATTTCCCAACGTACACAGAAAATAATTGTATACTAAATGCACATTATAATTTCTTTGAATTTTACTACAAGCATAGAAGAGATTATACCGTCATCGGAACGGACCGACAAACAAACACGAGCGCATTATTACACAAACAAATCAGTCACACTTGTTTGCATTGCATACATAAGTATACATATATAGTTCACGGTCCATGTGAAAGTTCGTGTAAACAAGTAATATTATCGTGTTTATCGCAACATTTGAAGCCATTGTGTTGAGACTATGATTGATTCTGTCATTTTATTTGAACCGTTGCCGATTTTCACAGTTTACATTTGAACGATGAAACTTTTAAAAGACTAAATTAATATGGCATAATTTTTGTTTTCTCAACGTATTGTCCTAAATTTCTATTGTGTCTGCTATATTTTTATATTACGCTCGACTCAATAATAGACTCTTTTTTTTAACGATGATTAATATATATTTTTCGGTAAATTAATTTGAACCCTTAAACCACAAATTGAGATTAAAGTAAAATAAGTATATTATAATATAAATGTAAGGTCAAACGCAGTAAACGAAAGTACTGCCCCGTCAGAATTGGGCAAAAATTTGCATTAAATGAAGAGGAATCACGTTTTTAAGACCTTGAAGAATAATATTATAAAACCTACATTTCTATTTAAGTTGAAGAAATCATTGAATGAAAGAGTGTATGAACACAAAATTAACAAAACAAATTTATGGAATGCACTATTGCACAAAAGACGGAGGGAGATAATATCGAAAAATAAAAATATTGTTGTTGATTTTAATTTTTTTACTTAAATGACTAGGCCGCATAATTTTCGACCCATCCGACCATCGAATGTAAATTGGAAACATCATTTCACCTTCTAAGTGTACATTACACTATCAATTCAGCGTGTTATTTTAACGAATATTAAAATAAATTATTACCTTGTTCACAGGTAATCTGGATATGTGCCTGGCATCGCGGCTGTCGACTCAGGCCAACCTTGGCAACATGGAGACGCCTAGGGAAGTGATTTCCATGGTCGTCGGCAACATATCACTAGTTCAGGTGAATACTGATTTTTAGACCAAGTTGATGATTTGAACTAGATTGGAAAATGCCGTAGTTTAAGTATAAATATGACCGTATTCATGGGAAATAGTACCACACACTTATATGATATATATATTTTTTTTAGGTAAGATATAACTTTTTTTTTAAATTAATTGTATCGGGTTTAATTCACAGTGTTACAGCGGACAGGGGCAAAGACTTAAAATAAACAGTAACCGCGATGAGATCCTTAAAACAGTCTTATTCAACTTTCTCATGCCGTTACACCTAACACACCGATCCGGAACAGTTATCATCAATGGGTCACACAAATACTAATAGCAAATGCGCCATAATTCAATGAATAGTTTTACAACAATGGGTTGTACTAGTTGATTCTAGAAATCATTGCGCAGCCTAGCGATAAACGCGATAAAATCAATAAAATAGTTTTATTCGACAATTTGTAGCATTCACGTTAATACAATAAATCATTGTGCAGTCATAGGCCGTTGTGTAGCCTACAGATAAAAGAATTTGGATATTAACACTCCACTCCTTTGTTATAAAACTCTGCCAAAACGGTATAATCGCATTGTGGAGCTTGGCTGAAGAACCTCTAACGCAGTGCTCAAGCATTTAACATCCATTTTAGTGATTTACCATGTTTCTATCATTGTGGTAGCAACATGGTAAATCTGCCCGTGAAGACATCTCCACATTAAATTCCTTGCCACCGCTTGCAGGTGCAGGCAATAGTGGCAGCAACGGTCGTCTCGATGTTCGCCATCACCGTAAACGCCATCACAGATAGGGCGTTCAACGGCAGCTACGTGCTGCTGCTAATCGCGTCGGCCGTCTTCACCGCAACCACCACTTGCTTCGTGCTGGGTAAGTTGCGCGACTGTACCTGTGCACCGGTGAGCGCCTGGTGCTCGACTGTACCTCCGTTTTACTATCTGGCGTCACTGTACGTGTGCACTGGTGAGCGCCTGGTACATGACTGTACCTGCGTTTTACTATCTGGCGCCACTGTACCTGTGTACTGGTGAGCGCCTGGTGCACGACTGTACCTTCGTTTTACTATCTGGCGTCACTGTACCTGTGCACTGGTGAGCGCCTGGTACACGTCTGTACCTGCGTTTTACTACATGTGTCCCATATGTGTCGTGCTACGTAAATGTATAGCGGGAGCTATCTTTTATACACGGCGTGCTTAAGTACTACTAAGTGTACATTTTGCTCTATGCCATCGCTGGTATTATTTGGAACTCTTTTATCTGGGAGGGTGTCAACCGAGCTGGAAGTTTACCCGATGTTAAGTGATAACCGACTCCCATTGACATTTGTAACACTCGTAGGGGTCCACCTTTTGTACCCCGAAAAGTGTACCCCGGGTACCTCAATCACCAGACAAAACACCTCCACTTCACGGTGATCTTCTGTCAGTTCGTGTTTCTTACCCGGAAGGAACAGCCTATTCGTGCAACAGCTAAGACTGTTGGCTGGCCCTATTACGGTTAAATCTTACCCATGCTCCCAGATTTCGTGATGGTGCTGGTGATCTTCGGCTCGCAGAAGTTCAAGGTGAACCCGGACAACGTGGCGACACCGTTGGCCGCGTCCATCGGCGACATCGTCAGCAACTCTGTGCTCGCCGTCACCGCGCAGTACATGTACGATCAAATAAGTAAGTTCCGGGGTCTCAAAATCCCTCTATATCTATACTTACCTATATTATAAAGAGGAAAGAATTGTATTTTTGTATGTTTGTAACAAATAAACACGAAACCTAGTAGACCGTATTAACTAGCAATTAAAATTCGTTCTCCATTAGATTGCTAAATTATCCCTGAGTAGCAAAGGCTATGTTAAATACTGGAAAAAAAATAAGGACCCCGAATAAAACTTCGGTAGTAAAAGTCAAGGTGAAAAAACATTACTGTACACCCGTGCGAAGCAGCGATAAGCTGCTAGTTAGTATTTTATATATTTTGATTCGGTTGGTGCATTAACAAAGATTGACGCTCATATTCTTAACCAAATTTGTGTAACTTACGAGAACCTACATGCATTTTTAGGGGGCCTCCTATACAACGGACACATTTTTTGCCGTTTTTATGTACGGAAACCTTCATGCGTTAGTCCGATTCGCACTTGGCCGGTTTTAACGATTTAGCGGTCTGTTTATTCTAGATCGGTGAATGTTAAAACTCCGATAGCGTGGGTTACAATAAGTTTACTGACTGTTATGGCATATTACATTTTATCATTGACTAGCTGCTGCCCGCGACTACGTCTGCGTAGAATAGGCTGAAGGCGTAACATTCAAACAGTAAGACAGATATACATAAAACATGTATATAAATTATAGCCTATGTGTTATTATGTTATCGTAGTTTCATTAGAATCCATTCATTAGTATTTGCGTGAAAGAGTAACAAACATCCATCCATACATACAAACTTTCGCGTTTATAATATTATTAGTAAGGATAATCATTTTAATTTTTTTTGCAGAGATCTCCCTGTGGCAGCCCATTGCTCTGATGTGCGTCTACTACAGCCTACTGCCGCTCTGGGTATTCATCGTATGGAGGAATAAGTACACGAAGAGTGTTCTAATGACCGGCTGGACGCCTGTCATATCGGCGCTGTTCATAAGCGGGTAAGTTGGTATTTTTCGAAAACCACATTGCCGTTATGTTGTCTATAGAACTAAATATGGAATTCTGTGGCACTTGTATCAGTCTCTAGTTTATTTTTGTCACATGTTAATATTTGACGCTTTCGATATTACAGTCGCGAAATGTTTTCCCATTAACTTTTATCTAGACCAGTCACTTTGTCGTGGAGGAATTTGGAGAAATTACTATTTAATAACTTCTCATTATATCTGCAATAACTATGCGAAAAACAAAATGGTATAATGTAGCATTAACACTTATTTTTGATCAATTAGTGACCAGCATCCCAAGATTTACCTCTATATACAACTTTATGTAAATAACTTGTTAAGAACTTTGATCTGATACGATTTGATTAGATATATGTACTCTTGTATTTCTATTGAGATAGATTGGCCAATTACTTTAACTATTAAGTTTATGTTTAATGAACCTGTTCAAAGAAACGCACCATTTATAATATCGCTAACTAATCATATTCCGAGGCTCAATTGACTTAGTGAGTAAAACGTGTAGTCAAACAACTAAGAAAATATGCTAGAAACAAAAGCTAATAATAAAAATAAAAGAAATATAAAAGCGATACGACATCGTCATAAGGGGCGGGCAAATAATATTAATCTGCCACGTGAGTAAACAGTAGGGCCTTGGCAGTGACGGCGTGAGTCAGTGGGTCAACATGACCTCAGATGTTGAGTGGTTTCGCGTGTCGCATGCCAGCTCAGCGCGTGCGCAACTTGTTTCTCTAACTGTACAAACAACGCATGCAAATATGCACACAAGTTGACATACACAGGAAAGTTGGGACGATCTATTTGAGCCATATCGGAGTTATTGTGTTAAAGCCACGCGGCGGCTTCCACTGTTCCGTGTATGAGTCAGCTGATGTTATAGTACTACGACATCACAAAAGACCTGCGTGATCCATACCAGATATCTTTAGGCGGTCATGATGAATCCTATCATTTGTCTCCTTCTCTTACCATTGTTAGGTTTTGGTAGCCATGTAATAGTATGTAATCGATAATTGACTTTGAAATGAAAAGACTGAAGGCGATTCACCTGATGTAAAGTGATGACCACCACCCAAGGATATCTATAACACTGTTGGGGTTGCAGACGCCTTGTGAACCTTTAAGTCCCGGTTACTTGATTCAGCAGACGGAACGGAAAATTGTAATAATTTTAAATTGTACCTCTAGACCGTGGGAGTAGTAATAACTCATTCCTTTTCATAGACAGATAAAATTTCTATTGAGCACGTGATAGATTATTAATAGGTAATGATTCATTCTTAACAAATGCATTCACATAAAATATATAGTCACCAGTTTTTTTACAGATTTTTGTTTGTAATGATTACAAACAGAAATCGTAATCAAGTATGGTATTGCCTCGTCCATTATAATCTTAGCAATTTATCACCACCAATAAATTTGGGCTTACAATGGTTGGATAAAAGAAATCCTTTCGCCTGACGACAATTTAAAAATGAATTATTGCACCTGTAAAAATCGAGATAATTTTCAAAACGATTTGAGTTGGAAACAGTTACGAGTATGTGTTAATTTTTATCATTTCTTTATTTGATTTGGGAACGGTGCACACGAATTGTATGGATGATAAAACGTAATGTGACTAAGTTTTTTCCGGCTAATACTGATTAATCGATAGCTCAATAAGCTCGTGTAAAATTTTAATTCTTGTCGGTTGTTTTTTTTTTTCGTGGTTCAGAAATAAACTAATTTTCCAAAGATCTGAACCTCCTTGGCCCAATGCCAAAACACAACGTCATAACAAGAACACTCTGTTTAAAAGAAGCTATCTGCCTATGCTATCTCCTGGATAGATTGAATTTATTTTTGCTATCGGATTGTGCTTATTTTTGCCCCTAAAATATCAGTCAGTCTTAGTCGACACTCTCTTTCGAACTGAAATATTATAAACACTGAAATATTTGTCTGGTTTACAAATTATAGCCAGTCTGGTGAAAATGCTTTAAGGTCATGTCTACATTCTTATATTTACTCTTCATTATAAAACTACTATGTCAATCCTCTTTACAGCATCGGTGGTATCGTACTCGACCAGGCAGTGGAGAAATATCCTGGATACGAAGTGTTCCAGCCGATCGTAAACGGCATCGGTGGCAACCTGGTCTGCGTTCAGTCCTCGAGGCTCACAACTCACCTCCACCAGACCGCCATCCTCGGAATACTGCCGGAGAAAACGAGGATAGTTGAGTGGCCATGGAAGACATTGTTCTTTGGGAGTAAGTTGCCTAGTTGTAGAAAAAGTACGAAAAGATTGTCGCTGCTATGACAATCGAACCCACGTCTTCGGCATTCGCGGCCTGACGCTTTAGCCACTAAGCTAAACGGCTGATTGCCACACCGACGAGACAAGTTGCCTTGATTAGCTTTTATCCATGACGAATTGATAGGGAATGGGTTAATCCAAGAAATAGGAAATACACAGCCGACAACTGGCTTCAGAAAGAAAGCTCCAAAAGCAGCGTCGATGATGCCAAATAAAATTAAACATAAGATAATAAGATTGAAACACTTTTCTGTAAAAAGATACTCCTTGTAATTAATCTTTAAAAAAAATTACAAATTGGTAAGGATGAAATCTCACGTCAATTCCATACATATTCCCTTAAAAATTACTCTCAACTTGAATGCTAGTAATGCAATGAATAGAATAAACATTACAAAAAACTAATCGGGGTTATATTTATGCCAATTGCATATGAGAGTTGAGCGCTGTCAATGCTCAAGAATTGAGACGTAAATATGTTTAATGGATTTTTCGAATGTACTCTACTTAGCAGTGATCATGTTTAGATTTAACGGTATTATTTCGAATTATCACTAACTGCTTAAATTTCGTTCTCAGCCACTGCAGCCAAGGTAGCGCGAATGCTGCTAGTTCTCGCGGTGTGCGGTCAAATGATATTCATGGTGGTCGCCGACTTCATCTTCCAGGGTGCTGTGACCATCCAGTTTGCCTTTGGTCTCACCTACGTCATGTGTTCTATGCTACAGGTGCGTATCTGCTACAGTGCCACTCTTAATGGTCCTTTGTCTGATTCCTGTCTGAAATTTTTAAAACTCACTGCCAGGTTAAGAATCTTGACACCAAAGCGTGACAGGTGGTATAATTGTCGACGTACGTCGAGCACGTGGTACGTGGTGTGAGGGATTTACAACATGGGGGAAATCTTAATGACTATATCGTACTTTAGTATATTATGTATTTCACCCACTGACTTGATGGATGGAGGGAATTTTAGTAATGTTTATAAGATTTTTATCACGTTTCTTAATAGATCTTCTATGATGCAGAGTTAGGTGTTATCTCTTTTTTTTATGCGACAAAGTGGCAATCGAGCTGGCGGTTCACCTGATGTTATGTGATAACCGCCGCCTGGACATTTGCAACACCCGTAGGGTTACATAGCGTTGACACCTTTTAATGAAGTAAGCCCCAGCTATCTCACTCACCAGACGAAACGCAGAAGTGTTACATTTCTACTTCACGGCGGTCTTTTGTGAAGTCGTGGTACTTACCCGGACGGACCTGCCTATTCGTGCAACAGTGCGTGGCCCTGTTACTTGAAAGACCTTGACCACAGTTACTTGAAAGCGTTGAAGGAATTGCCTACCACGGGAATTCCGCCCCACTAAAACCCTCTCTGTGGCCTGTGTTACGTATGGCTTTTTAATGTAAATGAGATTACTCTGAAATCCATGGCGGGTTCCACTACAATGACAATAAGGGCTCCAAATGCCCGTAAATGCTGCGTCACTTCTTAGTCACTCTTTACAGCACCAATACAGTGTGTGATAATCATAAATAATGCACTGGTAACTTTATAACGGGGTTAAGATAATTTAAATCACCCGATATTAATCAATGATTTATATTGCGATTAAAATCAAGTTTTTTTTAAACGTCATTGATTTAAATCAATCCCTTTTTCAATGGAACCAAATTATCAAAAATATACAATAAACCTGTTATTGCAACAAATTACAAATTAAAGATCACTTTCAAAGTGCATGTGTGGTGCTCCCAGTGGGATGGAAAGAATAATTTAAATGTTTAACTTGTTGCATATCAACATGAGAATAGGTTAAGCTGATAAGGCAGCCAAAGCTGTAGTTTTGAAAAAAAAATTAAGAATATAAACATCAAAATACGTTATTATGACTACAACTGCATCTATTCTCAGTCGGATTTTTGAATTATAAAAGTCGTTGATTTTCTTAATTTGCCATTGTTCCTTTATTATTTAAATGTTGATAATTTGATAATACAACTTCTGTGTTGATTCTTTTTTCCTATCTAATTAAAATAAACATTGAGTGCAATCTGTTAATAAAGTTTAAAAAATCCAGTTCTAATCAAATAAATCCAAAGATTTTTCAATTTACACAAAAATCGTGATTTTTGTCAACCCTGTTTTATAAGCGTCACTTTCCAGGTCATGATGTTGCTGTACTTGGCGTACATGCTGATCCACTTCATGTGGAAGAAGCAGAAGGACCCTGACAACGCGGCGATACCGTATCTGACTGCGTTAGGCGACCTCCTGGGCTCCGTGTTCCTAGGTCTCGCTTTCGTCATCCTCTCTATATTCGGCCTCCAGTACGGCAACAATGTGTCCGGGACTTAGGCCAATGCAGGAACTTCTCTCGCCGACCGCGCCGGAGTTTTCCCAATCTTAACATGCGCTTTTATAAGCCCTCTGTTATTTGGATATTGAAGAAGCTTTCAGCGAGCGGCTTGATGCCAAAGGATTAAAGTTCACAAATTTCTTTGAATGAATTTTTCTTTGTTCCCTAACGCTTAGATTAATTGAAGTTTAGCTTGAAAACCGTTCTAGTGTTAACCTTTCAGTATTGTGTTGCTACATTTAGTGTTTGTAGTGGTAACGGTGCCAAGTATATCGGTCCGTCTCTTCGGACATTCCTAGTTCATCGTAGTGTTTCGGAAAGTATTATCTTGGGGTGGCCGAGAGCTCGCAGCTCGAACTGTGATATAGTAACCCAAATAAAATGCTAATAAGCATGTGATATGATTTAAAGACAAATTAACTTTTAAACTTCGCCAATCTGTACGTCTTTCGTAGACAATAAAATAATGGTTAATATTGAAATTTGACTCTGATTTCACCTGATGCCGGCGGTGGTTTGAGTTTATCGTACGCGTTGTAAGCTTACGATGGTTCAACGTTCGTTTGATAATCCTTGGGCTGTTTTATTTCTTTTTTTTCTCAACTAAAAACGCATTCCGTTCCAAGCATTCGTAATGACTGATATGAATTGACGCCGATACGCTGTTATCGCCAATTATTATAGCATTTTTAGATAATAATGTAAATATATTATTGATACTATTGTAATTTTTAGTGAAATACCGCGTTTGAAGGCATCGCCCGCTCGGATGGATCGATGAACGATTTGTTCGTCGACATTTTGATGCTTTTAGAATTTTTTTGAAATGTAAAAGACAAAGTTCCATTAGAATTTTATTTTTCGTCGGACGATGTTTGGCTTTCGTAATTCATAATATATCGATTGAAAGCGATGTCGATATTTGCAGTCGTTACAGCTAGTGTTGTATCGATACCGTGACGAATCGAATTAGTAAAAATGAATATCGATATACGGATATGGATGACGATTATATCGGTCAATTAAAAATCACCCAAAGGGCTCATCTACGCTTATCGATTTAACGCTTAGTTTTAGCGAGTTTAGCGATGAGTACAATAAAGCAATTTAGCGTTTAAGAGGCCTAAAGTAATTTATTATCGACTTAGTTTAGTTATCGCGTTTACCTATTAACAAAGTTCTAGCTGGTTTAGTAGGAAGTGAATGACTTGTGATCGGTGTATAGTGAAAATATTAAAATAATTCTGCTTCGCCCCACTGTTGCAGATCAAAAAGTTTTCGTAAATGCTATCATGAAGTTGACCGTTGACATTAATCGTTATCGAAACATTGATTCACCACATAAAATAATGTAGCCCTTTTATGCGTGATCTGTCTATCGAACAGTGCAATAATTTTTCAAATCGGACCAGTAGTCCCTGAGATTAGTGAGTTCAAACAACCATAATCTTCAGTTTTAAATTAGAAGTATTGCACATTCCAACATATATATATTGTTTTGATTTTAAAAGTTACCACTAATCTTTACGCAGTTTGTAAACATTATAATAATTACGAATTTGCTTTGGTTTACTGTAAAACGTTATATAGTGTCATGCTTGTAGGTTCATTTTCGTAATATGTTTAACACAACGTACCCTGAACATTATTAAAAATATTTCATAGTTTAGGATTTGTATTGTGCCTCATTTTAAAAAACCATTACCAGTAAAGGGAATAATATTGGACGCACCATTGGTCCCTGTGGTAACCCATTACTAATGGACTGCATAAATGAATAATGAAATGTTTTTATATAGTATATGTATACATAAAATAAATTCAATGCAGTTTCATTGTTCCCAAACATAAGAAAAGATGTTTCAATTAGTTATGTTAAATTACTAATAATGACTTCAGCGAGTGAATCAAGTCCCAAAAACGTAAAAGTGACCATTTAAAAATAGTCTTAAGGTATATATTTGAATGAATGATGTGATACAAATGAGATTTTAATGTATATAAATTGTTATATAGTTTGTAGGCAATTACTAAATCGCTGTTTTTGGTCTTTACTCGACTCCATATTTAGGCTGTGGCCTTTGTTGTCATTAAATAGAGCTCATAGACTCATAACAGAAACAGAAGACAATACCAGTACAGATTTAAACTGATTTCATTCTGTGGTAATTTTTAACTTAGGTCAGTCAATTGTGCTGGAAAATTGCAATTAAATCTCGTCAATTTTTCGTACTAACATATAATTTAATGAAAGCCATCAAGTAGCAGCCCTGGATTTGTGACCGGAAACGTATAAATATTTTTTGTATGTTAGGGTTAACACTACCACTACGAAATGAATGTATCTTGGCCGTGAAATTTAAAGTTTTGTTAATCGAAAATCCTGAAGTTCTTATTGATAATTGTTGTATTTACGCGATTACACATTATAAATGAAATTATTTTTACGAATTTATCGCGCTTATTTTTAATTTTAATTCCAAACGTTTCAAACCCTTTACCGTTCGTGATTATGGGAGGTTTATGATAATGGGTTAAAATGTGCGAAACGTTTGGAATTAAAATTAAAAATAAATTCGATAAATCCGTAAAAGTAGTTTCATTTATAACTTCATTACAATTTAAGTGTACTCCAGCCCTAGCTTAGATGTCGTTAACAAAGAGACTCAATTTTCCCAATTTATAAATCCATGCCCCAAAATGTAACTCATTACATATTTGGGTATGCATTTGTTTGTAAATTTGGAATGAATTTTGACGTTCCCTAAAAAAAAAAAAAACATATTTTAGTTTTTACTATCGCGATACTACCGATTCCAATTTCCTTCGATCATCTTATTTTTAATCATGCTCTCCGTTTCGTAATTATTCAATACTTTCAATATCGATGCGTTATATTTAAGTGATTTTATGGTTTTAATATACGCGGTTTATTACAATTAAACACCAAATTGAACTGTAAATAATGGACATTTAGTTGTATATGCGTTTTATTGTTAAGAGTTTGTAGCAAATTCTGTAATATTCTCAAATGTTAAATTAAATAATCAAATCGTCGGAGTACGCTTTTTTGAATTTTTTTTTCATTTATTTTCATTTTAGTATTTCGATATTAAAAATAAGTAGAGCATATTATTCATGTTCATCATTTTTATGTACAAAATGTAATTATCGTTTTATGTAAATATAGCAAATATATGTTTTCATTTTCTAGGTCGATTCGTTTTTTTATAATTTTATTGTTTATATCGTATTAAGTTATGTAATCATTAGAGTGTTAGAATGGATTTGTCCGAATTGTTTACACGTGTCTTCATATACATTACGAAAACTTTTAATTAAAATGCTGTTAATAAAATCTTATAAAAATTAATAGACTACTCACTCAATTTTTATTTATATCTTTAGTATGTATCTTTTTCGGAGTCTTCATGATATTATGTATATTAATTTAATGTCTTCATAATTTATCATATGGTGATGTCCAGATGTAAAATGCCAATTTTTTGTTTCAAAATAAACGAGAAGACCGACGTTTTTGCTTTTTATTACCCATTATATTTTAATTCAATTCATATGTTTAATACTTTTGAAAATATTTGACAATTTGTAACTTTGCCAACACATTTTAATGACATTTTATGGAGTGAAAAATGATATCTGCAAAATGTTTTGCACCAGTTTGATATAGGTTCCTTATACTCGAATGTACTTTCTTGACACCCCAGCGCTAATAAAAGGTTACGTGTCTATCTGTGTAACATTGTAAGGATTACGAATAAAACATTGTTCAGGATAGAACAAGGAAGAAGAAATAACGCTTCTGAAGGAGTTATATTAATAAAATTTCAACTAAAAGCAATTAGGTTTGTTACGGTTGGAAGTCGGTGCGAATGTACAAATTTGAATGCAAGTCTTTAACCACTTATAAGCCAATATATTTTTTTTTTTTTATATTTGGGACACAACATTTTCACACAACATTTTCTAGTCCCAAACTAAGCAAAGCTTGTACTATGGGTACTAGAAAACTGTTAAACATACTTAAACATACTTTTCTTTTTGTAAATAAATACATATTATACATATAGAAACACCCAGACACTGGAAAAACACCATGTTCATCACACAATATTTTTCCAGTAGTGGGGATCGAACCCACACCCTTTGGCGCAGGAGGCAGGTACACTACCCACTACGCCATTCGGGTCGTCTTTTAAAATCTAACGGTCGACTTCCAACGCGAGTGTTACAAGTATTAAGAATTTGGTTTATATATGAATTTATACGTATTAATAAATTTAGTTTTATTTATAATTTAATCCAAGGCCAATATCGGTTTACGTCTTTTTGTTTTTCGATCACAGGAAGAAATCACACTATTAATGAGCATTGAAGCTCAGTGTGCGGGTGCTCGTCTTCAATTCAATATACACAAGCAATCCGAGTTCAAATCTATTTGTGCGACCCACAGATAGTTGTTTCACATCTGGGAATTAGTCCACGTGAAATATATGTTTGAAAAACGTCCGTACCACACAGGATAATGTTATCCTAAGGTAAGGGCAATTATTTAAAAAAAAAATCATCTGGAGGAAACCTGCATATTGTCAAATGATAATAAAAAAGTCTGAGATATGTGAAGTGCTAATACACGGTGGGATCGCGTCGTGAAATATAATCTAATACCCTGTGTACCTTTAACCAGAAGTGGGACATATATAGGCGGTAACTATAGTTTACGCCATACATTTTTAACGAAAGAAAGAAAGAAATATTTATTCGGCGCATTATATTACAGGAGAAAAATAAAGAATAAGAATAACACTAACATTTTAAAAATGTATGCACCGGAAAGGTCTCCGCTCAGTATATAGCCGCAGCAGACAATATCACGGTACTGGTTTTCTGCCAATACCTTGTAAGATTGGCGTTTAGCTCCATGCTAACAAAAATAAAAATAAAATTTCTTAATTTAATATTTAATAATCCTTTTTTATGATTAATTCTCGTCTGCCTTTTTGCACTCATAATTTTGTTTGAGCCTATTTTCGATTCGCTTTTTTCGTCATGAACTAGCAACGTTTCCAGGATACATTTCCCCAACGTTACAGCTTACACCCTATCATTACAGGCGGTCCCCAAGGATCAACACAATCGACGTCCTAAAAGTACCACACGTTAGAAGTAAGTTAAAATAAGTAATTGTAATGTAACTAGCATATAGTCGTACGTATGTAAGTTTTGTTTAAAAAAAATTGAAAAAAAGAACAAACAAAAAACACTGCTGTAGCTGTTAACACGCAGTTAGGGCATAATTATGTTGTAGTTTAAAGATTGCCCAAATATTGTATTGTATTGTATTGTAATTTCAACACAATTTCAAAAAAGGTGCGCACCAAGTGACTGTAGTGAAATACTTAAAAAAAAGTACCATGTCAATTTCGTGCTTATTGCGGACGAAAGTTTCTTATTTCATAAGGAAAAACTCACCGGCCGTATCACTAATTGTCACAATACGAATATCATCGCGGTTGGAGAATTGACGTTAGTAACGTAAGGGTGCAGCGATACACTTTAGCTTGGTGGTAGAATAGAGTAGTCTTCATTTTGGGACTACACAACTCTTGAACTTTTCGAGAAACAAGCCGTTTAGAAACCCATGCCGTGCATACATACAGTACGCACAATAATGTCTAAAGTTCGCATGATTTTGTGCACATTTTGCAGTGCAACTGACGAAATCTTGTTCTGAAAAAAATCGTAATTTACAATCCCGTCATTCACGCATGTGTACAGCGCGACTCTACTAGTGTAAGGTCTATATAGCTCGTGGGCGGCAAAAGTGGAGCAAGATCAGTCATAGGATCATATTAGTAGCTACGAGATAGTTGAAGAACTGGGTAGGTACTGACCACGAAACAAGTTTGACCATTCAAAAGTTAGGTACACAAAAAAGTTCGATTTTTGGATGCAATACGGGTTAATTGAAAGAAGCTTAATGAATCGCATACTCTGATCGACTCGATTCACTGTTTCAATAATTATAATGTAAGCGATTCATTTTTGATGAGATTGATCGTTGATGGTAAAAAGTAGATCACTTACGTCATAAAAGTAGGAAAAAGATCTGGTCAAAGGGTAGTTAAGCTAAAGGTTAGCTATTATCAGCAATTAATACCTAGCCAGGGGTGACTTGAAGATCACTATGGTGGACTGAAAATGAAGTTGCGAAGCTGTCTGGACGAACATTCATGCGCTCTCAGCAATAAATTTCATCAGCCGCTTCATGGTCTTTAATATACAAACAAGTTAAGTATCGACTGCAAATTAATTTCATGAAAGTTTTGCAATACTAAACGTATACAAGAGTATCTAACAAATAATACCAGCCAATATAAAACCTAATTACAGCTGTGGTTCGATGAAGTTGTCAACTAGAACTTCTGATTTATAGGATCATCAGTGCCTTAAACAAACTTATAAGGTTGTTAAAAATGTGTACAAAACTGTCGAAAATTATTAAAATCATTAAAAAAATGTGTACAAAATTATTCGCCTTACAAATGACGAGCCCAAACATTCTAACCACTAAGCTAAATAATCAATATCCTCAATGCGCGAAAATCTCGGACTTTTGAGTTTCATGTTAAGTGCAAAATTAAAAATTAGATTAAATTATAGTATTAGGTCCTTACATACGAAATTGGCGTTTTCTTTAACTGGCCACTTTCTTTTTTTTTATGTGAATAAGTGGTAAATGAGCTGGCGGTTTACCTGATGTTAAGTAATAACTGCCGCCCTAATGAGTGGCAACATTTGCAACACCCGTGGGGTTGCAAATACGTTGCCACCTTTAAATAAAGTGGGCCGCGTCTACCACACTCACCAGGCTAAACGCAGAAGTGTAAAACTTCTACTTTACGCCGGTTTTCTGTGAGGTCGTGGTGGTCGTTCATCTCAAATATCTCGTGTTTGGCTAGGAATTCCAAATTCAAATTTAGGCTCGAGCATTTTTGTTTCGAGTTTAGTGATCCATTTGTTTTCAGGCCATTTAATTTTTCTCTGGCACTGGTCTGTTCACAATATGGCAAACAAGGGAAAAATTTTCAGAAATGCTCATCACAGGCTAAATCCTGTCCCAAGTGAAAGTTGACTCAGAAAAAGGGTCTGGTAAGCTGTGGACCAATGCTCGTATCATACACTAACTTCGGGCCAGACAATTATCACAAAGGCAGATCTTTATCGTCGACAATTGCAAACCATGAAATGTAAATGGAAAAAACTCGCCATTCAACAACCGAGAATGGTCAATTGCTCGAGCCCACTGCTGCTTCGGACAATGATAGAGCTCACACTCCACGACAGACGGTCGTTAAATTAAAGGAACTGTGATTGGAATGTCTCCGTCTCCCACCATACTCCCCAGACCTTGCTCTTACCACAAACGAATTACTACTTTTTCGCAATTTCGACAATTTTCTGCAAGGAAAAGGATTCAATTCTGATGGGACAGTGACGGTTCAAGTCCGATCCTCCTTCAAAGATTTTATTGATTTTTTTTTATGTGAGAAACGAGCTGGCGGTTCATCTGATGTTAAGTGGTAACCGCCGCCCATTGACATTTGCAACACCCATAGGGTTCCAAGGTTGCCTTTACTAAATTACTACTACCTTTTAATAAATTGGGCCCCGGCTATCTCACTCACCAGACGAAACGCAGAAGTATAAGACTTTCACTTCACGCTGGCCTTCTGTGAGGTACTGGTACTTACCCGTACTTACCCGGATGGAGATTCCCATTCGTACAACATCAGGAGCTGTTGCGTGGCCTTAACACGTATATATTGATTCTTGCTCCCATAATTTTTTCAGGAATGGAATCATTTGAACTACCTGTAAAATGGCGAAAGTGCGAAGATAATAATGTACATACTTCGATTGATTGCAAGTAAATATACAATTTCACATATTTTATTTAGTTTTACTTTTCACATATCAAAGTACAATGCCATACCGGCTATTTATTGATTGAAATTCTTTATTGAACCAAAAAAGTTTATACAAATGCGAACTTAGATAATGCTAAATAACATTTTTCTTCCAGTTAACCTTTGATGTTCGAGAGCAGGTTGAGGCTATTAACTCTAATCACCGTTCAAATTTTTAAATCATTTGTGGAAAAAAATGTTTTACCAAAGAATCATTTTTATTAATTGTTCATCTCAGCTTACCTGCTCCACCGTTTCAAAACTTATAACAATCATAAAAAAAAATTAATCGTTTATTTCGCTTCAAGATAGTGGATGCAAGATATTTAATCGGCTGACCTTATCTCATCACTGCCGCAGAGTCTACATTTCGATTATATCCAAGAATATGGCACAACGGGGAAATCTTATACCTTCCGAAGATATCGTAATAACCATCTGCAGACCGTGATCATATAATCAGACAAGAAAATAGCAAAGTTCATAATAAAGGATGCCATTTTACTATAAGTTTACCAGTGTCCAAAGATACGATATCAAAGATTGTTTAAATTTATCTAGCTTTATCTGTAAAATATTTACTTCAAAAGGTTTTTCAGGTAATTTTAATAATTTTACGTTTGAAAATAACAATTTTTCATTTTAAAATTGCAAAAAACCAGAAATAAAATAGATAGTAAATAGTAATTTGTTATTGTTCCAGCAACAGATGTTAATAGTAAAATTAGAAAAACATGACATCAAAATCCGCCTTGAGTGTAATTTTTAATGGATATGAATAGTAATCGAAGAAAAATCGGAGTTTTCATTTCGTTGATGACTTTTTACAGTCTCCCTCTCTCTCTCCAGATGTTTTAATAATGGCCTATATTTCACGAAGGCAACATTATAAGAAGAATGCTTACGACTCTTCAACTAGTACAGTAGTTTTATAGAATAAATAGAATGTCTTCATATAAGCTGTCTCTATTTTTCTTAATTGTTATTTTGAAACGAAAAATTGTTAAATTGACCAGAAAAACCAATATAATCAAATAATTTCTTGGCAAAAAAAGTAACGACACTTAATAAATAACACGTTATTAAATACAAACGTAGTATACACGACAGGGTGCCAAGAACTCTAACTGCACTTTGAGAGAGAAAAGGAACGGTACTCTTTTCACAAGCAATGAGTCTAAGGAACAATTCATTAAAGATTTATGTGCAGGGCCTAATTGATTACCGACCTAATTATTATTGGGTCCGTCCTATTATTATGATTCTACTGCAAATTGTGCAGTAGCATCATAATAATCAAATATTCTTTTTTTTTTAATTAATAACAAATATATAATCTACATAAAAATACTCATGTTTACGCCATTCACTTGCATTAGCTTCCTCTAATACCGGGGGGTCTTGACCGAAGTAACCCTTAGATAGCCAAAGTTTATTTATGAGTCGTGATAGCTCATTGCGCGCGCTTTTAATACAGTATACTCGAGCAACCCGAGTTCGACCCCCGATGCCGGCACCAATGAAATCGTTATTTTAAGTGCTCACTAGGGACGTGTTCAGCGGTGAAGGAAAACACTGTGAGGATACCTGAATTTTTTTGGAATAATAACTAAAAAAAAATAAGTATATTTCGAAGATATGTGAAGTTTGCCAATGCGTAGTGAGTCCGCGTGCCGGAATATGCCCTAATACCCACTGTACAGAGGAGTCCAGCCCACAAGTTGGAAATACATAGTTTATGCTCCTCTTTGACTGAGTTTCCACCATGCAGTGGCGGAGTGGCTTAGTAGCCGTGGCTTCACCCACGGTGAGCCAAGTGGAACCCACACTTGGCCAGTACTGTGGCGTAAAGCCAGACCGAAAGGGCCGCTCCGCCCTCCCTTTCCTCCGCGAATCGCCGGGACTGCATCGCTGGTGCAGTAGTGCTGGAACTGGTGGAACTGTGGAGGATGAGGAGTTGTGATATTGCGATAGTTCGCTCTCCCTACCTTCCGCGGTAGTATCATGGTGAGTGGCGAAGGGACTAGGTCGACCGCTGGGGTTGGAGGCTTGTTGCTTATTAGCACTGGCTCTCCTGGCTCTTATGGCATCTGGTCATCGAACTCGGGGGAGTTCGATGGCTGTAAAAAATTGGCGAAGTAAGAAGATGCGTTGAATGTTCCAGCGCACGGGTGGAGGAGAGGGGAATTGCTCCCGAAGAAGGGGCTGCTGAGGCGGCCAGCGAAGGCAGGGTCGCGGAAGTGTGCCAAAGGTTTTCCGTAGCCCTGCTGATATGGGCGGATAGGAACATCATGGGCGTTATGGTTGGTAGCCAGAGCGGGTTATGTCACGAATCCGACGTAACCCGCTCTTGCCCCCGCGAGGGCGGGTATGTGTAAGTATTATATATATTCATCACCACCAGTATTCGAATACCAGTTTGCTCACATATAATAAAATATATGAAACAAACCCTATAAGTAATGAAATTCTTTACCATGGGGGTAGAACTATCTTCTGTTGTAGGAGGAGCGTGACACATTTTGCAATAAAATACAATTCCGTACACAAAAATAGAGAAGCAAACATTTTTCTGCGCTATTGAATACCAATAAAGGCGTTATGATCGTGTAAAGGAAATTGGCTACCACACACACGTGTTAGTTCCACTAACCGATAACAGAGGGAGTTGCATAACTCATTTCATCGCTGAAAGCTCAACGGGTAGAGTACACGAGGGAGATTTTGCTATTTGAATTTGAATAAAATTTCTTGCAGTGACCATTTTTTAGTTTACAATATATAAATAAGCATTTGAGTATCATTATTTTTTTTTTTAATAAATGAATGAGACTTTTTTCTAATTTACATTTCATAATGAATAGGACGAGAACTCTTTAAAATATACGAGATCTTTTTTCTTAATTACAAACAATCGTACTCGACCTGACCCAGATTACATTTCAATGCAAGTTGCGTTAAATTCTAAAAAAAACTATTTCATAATACTCGTGCTTATTAAAATATTAAGTAATAAAACATAAAAGAACGTATTTATTACTCTATTTTTATATAATTAATTTAAATAAAAATACATTTTTCGCTTTAACGAGTCACGTAACCGCGAAAACGTCGACGCCTACAGGCTTTCGCGCCGTTACCCGTGCGAGCTAAGTTCGTATTTCCACCGCTAGGGGCGCCACGTGCGCTGCCATTGAGTCGGAAAATCGTCGGTGAAACGATCCCATTCTTTTCCCTGACAGTTTCGGCAGTGATTCAGGTGCTGAATCTATCAGCTACGAAAAGGTAGGTTTTCACGAACCGACATCGCAGACCACCCTTTCGAGTGACAGGGGTCAGTGTTTATGATAAAAGGGTCTTTACGAATGCGTAGCGCGATTTGACTGGCTGTTTTGAAAAGGGAATCGCGATCGAAGACTGGCCACAAAACGCCACCGTTCTTACAATTTTTAAAAAAGGAACCTACTTCCTACGGGTTCCCGCGAGCGTTCCGCGTTCGCGCGCTGTTGGCACACCTGTTCGGCGGGCGATCGCCGAGCGCTCGGATCGTTAGGGCGGGGGGCGAGGGCGCGTGCGCGCGTCCAACCCGCCGGCCAGTCGGCCGCGAGCTACCGGCGCCTGCATACCTCGCCCGGCAACCCGGACTCCCGCCACGCCCGCCGCACGACTCCAACGCGACGGGGCACCGCGCATGCGGCCATCGATCCGGCGCACTCGAAACGGCACCCGTATCTAGGTTAACCGGCTAAAATTAAAGGTGCGTTCCGCAATTCAAGGTTGCAACCGCCGGCGCAGCGCCGCCGCGCGACTGTCGGCCCGCTGCGCTCCCGCCGCGCGCGCCGTAGGGGCGCTAATCGCGTGCACGCCCGCGCCGCAATGGCGGCCGGGAATTATGTAAGGGGCGCGCTATTGTCCCGCGCGGGCGAGACGATTTTTGCGCGATACGCGGCCGATAGCGTCGCTTGACGATGCCGCGATGCCGATCGCTCTCGGCCCGTAAGCCATGCAGCGACGCCGTTCCAATATTGAGAATCGGGAGTGTTAACAATTAGTAAGTACGAGGCGCTCCGCCGATACACGTAAGATATATTTAAAACGAGCCGGCCGCCTCGACAGGCCGACCGTAGCGGTTGCTTCGACAGTGATTTTCCGAAACCCACATGGCATTACTGTTATTTGACGAAATATCGAGCATCAAAATAGTAGACACTTATCTTATTTACATTTTATAATTACCTACACCGAATCACATTACTTTCAGCATATTACCCTTAGTAATTATCTTTTCCTGCAGCTTATGGATATTTATAAAACATAATTACAGATTAAAAATACACTGCAATTATACGTAGCATCTTTTATTATGTTATTAGGCCAGTGTCGTTGTAATTTTAGTACGCTAACCTAGAAAATGTGGCGTTGGAACGTAAACGCGACAGATGTCGCTACTGTTTTATTGACGTTTTACATTCTGTGAAAACATGGACGTATAAATGAGGGTTTTAGGTTTTATAGTACGTTGTACGTATTTAAACATTGTTTTAGTTACACACAGAATGAACTAATTACACAACTAATTTAAAATAAGCTGGAATGGAAGATCAACTCAATTACTTACAAAGACAAATATAGCGATCAACTTGTACCAATGTTTAGTTTAATTGAATTGTAAAAATTACTATCTATACACTTTCGATCAAGAAACTCACGTGGTAAATGCCAAAAATGTCATCCCTTGAGGAGACTATACCAATATTATATTATCTTCTCCAATATTATAAGTTGCTAAACGTCTTATAAGATACAATTAAAACGTTCTTTTCTTATAGTCCAAGTGGGAATTAAATTTTTCAATACTCATAGTACCTTAATTCGAGTAAATGTATCTTCATATAACAGTTTTAGTCGCGATAAAAAACTAGAAGCAGGGGGTTTGTTTTACACTACTATGCTCAGGATACCGGATTCAAAAGCAAACTGTTATATCGCTAGTGACGTAACGTATAATCGCCACATCTTCGTAAAATAACACAAAAGGCGGCACTTAGTAACGGTACGAGTTGAAATAATCTTTGAGGTTTTCAGGGGCCAACGAACGATGTTTTAATGATTTTGCTTCCAATACATGTCGCTGTTCTTGTCTCCGAACACCCATAGACTTGTCACGTCTGCAAGACATGCTCTTTAAAATACTTACAAGGACAGAAATACCCTCTGAAGGGCAGGTCTGCGTTTAATAGACGCTCTTAAGCCGCTTTGCTTCTTATAGTAGCAATAGTTTACTATTAGTTACAATAATTCGATATCTAAGTGTTATAATGCATACAGAATGGGAACGCCTTCCGCCCGCTTGAAATGTGCCTTCAAGGCGACAGTTAATAGGATTTTACGGAGTTAGTTTACCCACCCACGGGTGCTCCATTTACCACTTGCTAGCAATAGTTTAATAAAAAAGTTATTCGGGCCATCAAGAGACTTGTAAAACGCCAAAGGGTTTATTTCAAAGTTTGGGATTGGACCCACCATATACGAAACGATAATTCTATTGACCTATTGCATCTGACATTAAAGTAAGTCTCTGGGATTCACATTATTAAATTACGTCACATCTGTTAATTACATTATTTCGTTCAGAATAAAACAGGTTTTATAGTGAAAAAGTATACTTTATAGCCTAAACGGAAAAGTAAAAGACGTCGCCATATTGCGGAAAAACAATGGAACTAAATTATTCCAAAATTCAATTAGGGCACCAAAGGAAATGCGAATGTCACGCCCACAGAATAGATTTTTACTTTTATGGAAGGCTGGATTTATGAAATGGAATCTATTGATTCACGACACAAATTACTGCACATCAGTCCTCCAGACGCCATATGGACTGTAGCTCCCTGCAGGATGGAATTTTTATTTTTTTAGAATTTCATAGCATAAGTTGGTACTCTCTACGTCTCTACAAATCGAGCTTACTAATTTATTTATTTATTTTATAATTCATGCACAAAACATAGGCCGACTTAATGCTGAGAACATTTTCTACAGTTAGGGCAGGTGCACGAAAAAGAAAAAAATCTGAACGAGCAGTCGGTATCCCGTTAAGATGTTTCCGTGAAAAACTTTTATTCGGTGACTTTAAACAGGCAGTGGTGCCATAAAGCAATACATAATTTTTTGCGTATTCGATATGCAATAATCATTGATTTTTGCATATCAAATACGCAAAAAATTTTTGAGTTTCAAAAAACATTGTTCTTCTCACGTCCACCACAGTTAAAAAAAGTATGAGGGTTTCTATGTTCACAACTCATTTTTATGATATCCTGTTAATTCTCTCTTTAATTATCTGATGCCATAAATCGATACCTATCCTACGGACAGTTGATTATGACTAATTATAATTGTAGTACTGCAGAATAGTCGCTGGAAATCTTCCTACCATAGTTCACGCCATCAAAGGCACGGTTAATGGAACAAGACGCTCCCTCCTATATATAGAGACGGTTTCTAAGCTCTCCGCTGCTCCGTTTCACTCGTAGGAAGATATTAGGAGATAACAGTAAATGTTTCATGAAAGCGCTGCCGCATATTTGCCGGTTATTAATAGAGCTGGCATGCTTAGTGCCAAGCATTCCTCTGCCGGTCGCGTGCTACTTTGACATATTGTAAAAGGGACTAAGGTACACTACGTTGGGTTAGTCTCTTTGGAAGATTGCGTCTACGCGCTCCCGTATCCCCTGCCGATGGAACAGAGAAAGTTACAACGTGGTTTTTAGTAAGTACTCGTTTCTGACCGGGAATCCCGCATACCCATGTCACCACTCCCCCGATCCAGTGGCAGGGTATCCATAAAGAATTTTTCCCAGGTAAAAAATTAAAAAACGGTAACATTAGTCTTTGAATCCCAGTTGCGTATTGTGTTATGGACTTTCCACTTCTCTTATAGTATTATAAACTACTTGTCGGGTTTAGGCCTGTCGCAAAACAAATTTCAAATGTGATACGCTCTAGTTACAATAATTATATTATCTGCCACGCACGATTATTTGAACTCAGGTTGCTCGAGTATATTGACTTAAATATTATTGCAGGCCATTGGCACATGAAGTTGTTAATTTTACGTGCTGACTTCATATGCTCAACAGTGAAGGAAAACATGTTAAGGAAAGCATATTTTCGAAATAATAGCAAAAAAATCCAAGATACGTGAAGTCTTCTAACCCGCAGTGGGGTCGCGTCTTTGAGTTATGGCCTAATACGCTCTGTGAAGAGAAGGCCTTTGGCCAGCAGTGGGACATATATTTAGAGGGTGTTACTTTTACTTTCACGATCATTTCGTGGACAAAAAGAGAGCCTGGCTATTGCATTAACTTTGTCCGTAGGCAAAGGCAACCGCCTATCCGGTCAACCTCTAGATTTTTTATCCTTTCATAAAAACAAATAATTCCAAAGGTGTGGAGAAAGAAAGAACGACGTTTGAGACCAACGAACAGAGACGAGGAAGTAAGCAAATAAAGGAAGAAGGCGTTATATCCAGCCAGTTGGCTCGGTAACGGTAGAAATATCACAGAACAGGGATGATTTCATTGACTGCAAATACTTTATCGACGTATATTAGGGAATACACTTCCTGCAAACAAATTCTATACAATATATTCGCTCCATATTATAAATAGAATTACAGTTTCAGGCCGTTACATACATTAAACCTAGCGTTCTTCGTCTAAACTCATTCGTAATAAGCAACTGTTCGCGGTAGCATGCTACGGTAGTAGTTTAAAATAATGCTGATGGCATTAAGTGCGCGTGTATGTAATTTTGTAAAGAGTAAGCATTTGGCCACACAGCAGCCTCTACTGTTGCACGAATGGGCAGGTCCGTCCGGGAAAGTACCAAGACCTCGCAGAAGACCGCCGTGATCACTTATGCTTTCGCGTTTCGTCTGGTTAGTGTGGTAGCCGCAGCCCACTTTTTGGGGGTTCCGTACCCAAAGAGTAAAACGGGACCCTATTACTAAGACTCCGCTGTCTGTCTGTTAGTCCGTCTGCCACCGAGCTGTATTTCATGAACGGTGATAGTAAGTTGAAATTTTCACAGATGATGTATTTCTGTTGCCGCAATAACAACAAATACTAACACGGCTTCACACGGGTGCAATGAATTACACATAGAAAACCTTCCTCTTGAATAACTGTATCTAGTAATAAGACCCGTATCAAGATCCGTTGCGTATTTTTGAAGATCAGCGGGACGACTTTGTTTTATATTTGTAATGATGGTACGGAACCCTTCGTAAGCCAGTCCGACTCGCACTAGGGCAGTTTTATCAATAAGTTGTCAACAAAGCCTCGGGTGTAGCAGAAGTCTATGGTGGTATTCACTTAACATCAGGTGAACCGCCTGCTCGCCTGACAACTTTTCAAGTAAAAAAAACTGTTTAAAGATTGTATGCAGCCTGCGTACGCGAATCTATGAGGGTAGCTGTCCGACCTCTGACATTTACCGGGGTCAGGAGGTCACTCATCGGGAGACGAATGGGGGCAAATTTCTATACGGATAAGCCTAAGCAAATTTCTATACAGGCATATCCACGACGCAAAATACTACACTCCCTTTAATAAATTAATAGAAAATGTCTTGAATAGGATCGTAATTAATAGGCTGATAATTAAAGGATATCAATGAGTTCATCATAATAATCACTCGAATACGACGGTAAATTACACCGAAAAAAAAATATATTATAATAGCTCCGTCGGTAGTCGGGCGGCCCCGAAACAGAAGGCCGTGATTCGTGTCACACACTTTTTTTTCGATTCCAGATCATTGCTTCTTTATTAATTATTTTTTGTTGATCCAGATGATTTTGTTCTTTTTCCCTTTTTTTTTAATTTCTTTCTTTTGTGAAAAACACCAGTTCATATTTTCTTATTATTACTTCGGTAAGATCGAAAATATTATGCATT